TCACAAAGAGTCGTGACGGTGTCTGTGGCGGTCTCTGTAGCAATTGGAATGCCTGTTTCAGTCAGAGGTGAGCCCAGTAAGGTCAAACGGGTGGGAGAGGTCTCACTTATCCCGTGGAGAGCGGTCTTTATTTCTCCTGCAATTGAAGCGTGCACGCTGTCAAGAGCTGCGCCGAAAACGGCGAACTCGCACTTGGAGCCATTAAGCTCCAGACCGAGGTCCGGCAGCAAGTCTTGCAGTTTGACGAGATCATTGACGACCGTGCATACGGGGCCTGCAACAGTGGCGTCGTCCAAATACCATATATGTATTTAATGGTGATTTCATGGAGCGCGCGCAGTCATCAATAGCCAGCACCTAAATTATAAAACACATTTTACAGGTTCACTGAACTCTATTGACAGGTTCTTAAGCAGAAAGCATGCTTATCAGACAAGGGCACCTCCATGCGATGGATATTCTTTCCAAACCAAATCGTTTAGCCATCAAAAAGCAATCGACCGAAATGGATAGATAACCCAACCGACACAAGAAAACCAAACACCCGCCGATCGTAAATACCCCTTTTCGCGTTGCGGAGCACGCGGGTCGCCCTAGTACTTTGCTATCTGAGGTCACTGATACCAGGTCAGGTCACAGCGAGGTCAAGTCACCTGACTTGGTTGGTTGGATTTGACCATAAAACATGTATCACACGACACTTTCATATTGTGACTCATTTGACCACTCAAGGTCATGCGATGACCTAAGGTCATTTGTGGGCTATGTCGAAAATACACTTGCACAGCAGTTTTCGAGTAGAGGGATTGACCGAATTCCAAATCAAAGCGCATCATCGGGTAGCCCATAGGCCGTAGTAACTTTCCTTAAAAACCGCTTTTCGATATGTGACCCCGTTTGACCTCGGCAGGTCAAAATGTGCAAATAAACGACACTCCATACGTCGCAGCCCGGATTCAGCCCAGATTCGGGACACCTCCGATCAAGCTGAAACTCGCACACAATGTAGGTGCTGACATGCCCAATCCACAGTCCTAGTCATTCGGTGGCACTCCCAGCCGTTTAACCTACTAGAGAGCTGGACCTTGAGAGGTCAAATGAGTGTTGGGAAAGTAAGATTAGATGCTGGCGAGTCGATTGGTGCCATTTTTAGCGCTCTTGCTCTACTGGGTGGGCCACAATCTGCTGTGCAAATTTGGGCCACGTGACCTTTGCTGACCTCTGTAGGTCAAACGGCTGGGAGTGCCACCAAATGACTAGGAATGTGGATTGTGCATGTCAGCACCTACATTGTGTGTGAGTTTCAGCTTGATCGGAGGTGTCCCGAATCTGGGCTGAATCCGGGCTGCGACGTATGGAGTGTCGTTTATTTGCACATTTTGACCTGCCGAGGTCAAACGGGGTCACATATCGAAAAGCGATTCTTAAGGAAAGTTACTACGGCCTATGGGCTACCCGATGATGTGCTTTGATTTGGAATTCGGTCAATCCCTCTACTCGAAAAATGCTGTGCAAGTGTATTTTCGACATAGCCCACAAATGACCTTAGGTCATCGCATGACCTTGAGAGGTTAAATGAGTGTTGGGAAAGTACGATTAGATGCTGGCGAGTCGATTGGTGCCATTTTTAGTGCTCTAGTACTGGGTGGGCCACAATCTGCTGTGCAAATTTTGGCCACGTGACCTTTGCTGACCTCTGTAGGTCAAACGGCTGGAAGTGCCACCGAATGACTAGGACTGTGGATTGGGCATGTCAGCACCTACATTGTATGCGAGTTTCAGCTTGATCAGAGGTGTTCCGAATCTGGGCTGAATCCGGGCTGCGACGTATGGACTGTCGTTTATTTGCACATTTTGACCTGCCGAGGTCAAACGGGGTCACATATCGAAAAGCGGTTTATCAGGTAAGTTACTACAGCCTATGGGCTACCCGATGATGTGCTTTGATTTGGAATTCGGTCAATCCTTCTACTCGAAAACTGCTGTGCAAGTGTATTTTCGACATAGCCCACAAATGACCTTAGGTCATCACATGACCTTGAGAGGTTAAATAAGTATTGGGAAAGTAAGATCAGATGCTGGCGAGTCGATTGGTGCCATTTTTAGCGCTCTAGCTCTACTGAGTGGGACACAATCTGCTGTGCAAATTTGGGCCACGTGACCTTTGCTGACCTCTGTAGGTCAAACGGCTGGGAGTGCCACCGATTGACTTGGACTGTGGATTGGGCATGTCATGGGCTACATTGTGTGCGAGTTTCAGCTTGATCGGAGGTGTCCCGAATCTGGGCTGAATCCGGGCTGAATCTGGGCTGAATATGGGCTGTCTTGACGGACATCAGCTTCACTGCTTCTTGCAGGTACAGTCGCGTCGGTGGCGGGCCTAGCTCAGGTCCTGGTATCGGTAAACTGTCATGTCGTTCGGTATTGGTCTGCATGAAGTCGTGATCCGCGTCGTGTTCGCGGCCGGACGCTACAGACGTCACAGACGAGTCGCCGTCGCTCGGCGCCCGAGACAGCCGAGCGCGACACAACTGAGTACGGTGTCTTTCCTTCGCTCTGTTGAGCTCCAACTTGGCATCTCTAAGTACTCGTTCAAGACGCTCCTCTTCGTCGATCTGCTCTTGAAGCATCGACGCATCGCTCACACTCGCTACGCTCTCTTCATTGGTTGCCACCTCGGAAATCGTTCGCCAGCTTCGACTGCTGCGCGGCAGAGGAGTAGGTCGATAACCAGGCTCCAAACTGCGCCGAGGTGCCGGTGTTGGCCTTTCATTTACGCTATGACTCATTGTTTACGTTATATGTGATACGCATTGAGAGAACCAACTCATTGATGCTAGTGCGCAAGCGAGTTTCGAATATAAAATTAGACAAGCAATACGTTAATCCTACGTTAATGCTGGCAATCGAGAAGCAATTAACTATTTTCATAAATTGTTGCGTACTGCAACGGGAAAAGTTTTCATTAGCCAGCCAAGCAATGTTTATTTTCGTATCATAAACAAAGTGACTCGACACTGACACAATGAGAATAGTTTTTCCTCTGACCTCAAAAACCGATGAAAATGTACAAAGGGTGACTGCGAAAATCAAAATTAATCACGCGACAAATAAGATAACCTCCGGGTCAAGAGAAATGGAATGACTTTGATCGGCAATTTCAGGTAAACAAAATTAAAACGAGCAAATGATAATAAATCTGCAACATGGTATATGCTTTATTCAGGCAGAAACACAAGGCAAAAGAATAACGGCAATCAACAACTAAGAAACAACCTAAATAAATACACAACTGTCAGGCAGTGTACCTCTTCAAAACATAACAGTCAACAACGAAGATGGCGCATCAAAACAGCTTGATGTGTTCAGGGCTCAGGCTACAGTAAGTTTTTTTTTTGGGGGGGGATTAGGCCCTTTCGGTCTGACAAGACCATTGCAGAGCCAGAAGGATGATAGGAATTAGGGGGAGACATTGGTCTGGGCAGGCACCCTAGAGAGTCGCGGGGGCTAAGCCCGTCCGAATGGACAGGCCGACCAGCCCCCCCAAGCACTCTCTGCACCCGGCTACGGGGTGTGCTCCCTTGGGAGCAGCGGTGCTGCTCCAACGGAGCAGCACGCATGAGATAGTTGCCTGTCCAGCCCGGAGTGGGGGTTGCGGCGTGGGGGAAAAGGATTTGAATGTCCTGAGGATGGAAATGACGGGCGGGTGGGTACAGTAAGTGAAGCAAATGCCCATTTATAGCGACCAGCCGCAGTGAGCGGGCGGCCCGCGGACCTGCGTATCTCACTGCACTGGGAGACGGTACCACACGCCGCGGTAAGCTCCGCGCCACCGACACATCTGTCACTTCACACGGCCGCGCCAGACAGATGGGACTGCTGCAGCGGCTCAATCCAACCCCGCACGAGGAGGTGCCGGCGCCAGATACCGCGAGCGGGTGTTCAGTGCGCCTAGTGGCTCCGTGATTCCACTCCCTCGACTAATGATAGGTAAAGTCTATGCTCCAACAAAAAATGTGAGCCAGCCGAAGACGGCCTGTTGATACCAGTGACATCCCTGCACAGTGCACAGTCGTCCTACCCATCAGAGGTGCTGAGTGGCCGTAAAGCGTCGGCAGTCACCTACATCAAGCATTGCGCGTCCCCAACCACTGAAGAGCCTGGTCCTGCCAGTCACCTACATCAGGTAGGTACACTCGGGGGCAGATTGATGTTCCACCACTCCCTACCCACCGGGCTCTCATGGCTCAGCACTGGCTGCCTCGCATCGGCACGGTACTAAAAAGTCTTAAAACAAACAGAAACAAACGACTGTGCCACCACTGTAGGGTGTTAACATGACTGTCACGTCCTTGATCACCCGCTGGTCGACTGCAAGAGACAACGTGCGGCTCTGAGGAGCCCCGCTGAATAGCTGCGCCCTGCGTGCGGGCCGAGAGCCTGGTCGGGGGCTGATGCCGGTCTGGACCGTCTCTCCGGACGTGGTCAGTCAGTCTGGACCGTCCCTCCGGACGTGGTCAGTCAGTCTGGACCGTCTCTCCGGACGTGGTCAGTCAGTCTGGACCGTCTCTCCGGACGTGGTCAGTCAGTCTGGACCGTCTCTCCGGACGTGGTCAGTCAGTCGGACAGCCTCTCCGGACGTGGTCAGTCAGTCTGGACCGTCTCTCCGGACGTGGTCAGTCAGTCTGGACCGTCTCTCCGGACGTGGTCAGTCAGTGTGGACCGTCTCTCCGGACGTGGTCAGTCAGTCTGGACCGTCTCTCCGGACGTGGTCAGTCAGTCGGACAGTCTCTCCGGACGTGGTCAGTCAGTCGGACAGTCTCTCCGGACGTGGTCAGTCAGTCGGACAGTCTGTCCGGATGTGGTCACTGACCACATCCGGACTGACCAGTCACTGGTCAGTCCATCCCGCCGCCCGGCCGTGCCAGCAGGTCATCAGCAGCGGCTGGGCCTACCTGTAGAGTCAGGGCGCACTGCCCTACTGCTACTCGGGGCCGGCGATCATCGACACCTAGCCTCACGTCTCCACCCGTTCATCCGTACGGGAAGGTCGCCGACGACCCCCTAGACAAGCCTCTGTCTACTGTTCACAATAAGCGTGTGCCCGCTTCGAATGTTGGCGTCAGACTGGCGCACCATCGGGCAGAGTGACGCGGCGCGACCAACGGTGACGCGCTGCGCGGTGGTGATCTGTGACACGGCGGCGGCGCTCAGCGGAGCCGCGGCGTCGGCGGCTGGCGCTCACCGGAGCCGCGGCGTCGGCGGCTGGCGCTGAGCGGCCGAGGAGTTGACGTAGTACTGCACCTTGGCGCGGCCGGCGTCTCGGCGCCGCAGGTAGAGCCAGCCGAGCAGCACGCACAGCTGCGCCGCCAGGAAGGCGGCCGCCGCCAGCGCCGGACCGGTGACGTGCAGCCGCGAGTCGGCCGGCCGCCGGGCACCGCCACCCGCACCGGCCAGCTCCGACTCCGCCGGGAACTCGAACGTGTCGGCGATGCGGATCTTTTGGACGACGAGCACGTCGTCGTGGCGGCCGCCGACAGCCCGGCGTCGTCTGCCGTGCGAGATGGCCTGGCGCGGTGGGCCGCTGGCGCCGCGCCGGTCACAGCTGACCGGCCGGCAGCGCGGCACGCAGGGCGTCACCAGAGCCTTGAACTGCACTAGGTCAGAGCTGGGGAACTTGAAGGCGTCGAAGGGGACGGTGAGCAGCTGGCCGGAGCCGGCCACCTGCGCCACGGCGCCCATGATGGACGGGTCCGTGGGACAGCCGCGCTCGTCGATCAGCACGATCTCTGCCGAGTCGACGCCGTCCTGGGCCAGCAGCGAGCGCACCAGGATCTCGTAGGGCGAGTTTTGGTCGACGATGGCAAACTGCAGCGCCAGCGGATCACCGACCTGCCCAACAGCCGGGGGGGGGGGGGGGAGGAGGGGTGACATCGCCGACCGGATAACGCCAGTTCTGTGTCGGCAGTGGTTGTCACGCCACAGACCCCGGAAAGTAGTGGCAGTCACCTGTGCTGGCCACTGGCAACCAGACTAAAGCTCAGGCTACACTATCAGCGTTTTTTCGGTTTCTGCGGGATTTCGGTTTCCGCGTTTTTACGGTTTTTGCGTTTTTTCGTTCCAGGCGGCCGGACGGTGCTGCTTATAGCATAGCGATGGATAAGTGATAAAAAAGTTACCTAATTATTCATGTAAATATACTCATGTTTTCGCAAATCTATTCAGAAATAATCGTGTACAATTTTTTACAAATACCTAACAGGAATATTTTTATCAAAATTATTTAGCAGCTTAATTACATTTATGATATTTGATTTAGAATGATGAGTTTTAAAACACATCTTGTCTTATCATTATTCGTGAATAACACCATTTGCAACAATCACTTCTAATCATTCATCACAAAAACGAAATCCCGCTGAAACCGAAAAAAAGTTCACAGCTCTGAACTTTTTTTCGGTTCCGACTCGTCGGTTTTTGCGGGTTTTCGTTCCACGGGACGTCAGACTGGCAGTGTAGCTCGCGCAATGCATTCGATATGAGGCCAACTTTACGACGCGAACCGAAATCCCGCAGAAACGAAAAAAACGTCGGAATTTATGCTAGTGTAGCTTGGGCTTAATACTGTTTTGGGAGATTGACAGTACAATGTACAATGTTATTTACCATCTATGCAGATCTGTCCGACACCAGGTATGGACAATATGTATTTGATTTTGGCGTTACTCCGTCCCTAATCACATATCATAGCGTAACAAGTTGTCACAATATTTGATTATATGTACGGTGGCTTGTTGACAAAAAAAAATGCATTTTCCACCTCTCCTTCAGAGTCTTTTTACCAGTACAAACATCCATTAGCATACCTAGGCGCGGGAACAGGGGGAAGGGCTACAGGGACGGGGTTGAGCCCCTCCAACTTTTTAGCCGGGGGGCCTCGTAATGTATTCGAGCTTCCCAGCTTGAAGCGTCCAAATCTGCAACCAGCCAACTTACTTGGAATAAAAACCGTATCATAAGGCCGGGAGCGAGAGATACCAGTGAAGTGCCCACTTTTTCATGCCCTGACAAAGGCTTTATGTTAACCCTCGCCCGCACATGCCATTTTCCCATCCTAGAATGCACATGGGGGGTTACCATCCCCCCGCGTCATTCCGTTCCTGCTGGAGATAGGGCTTCGCGGCAAAGACCAACAGATTCTATGGGAAGAGACGAATCCAATGGTACCTATAATCTTACCTCATTAGGTCAATCAATCATTGACCATTACTAAAAATGTTGCCGTTTGGGGCCACTGTTGGACTATAACGTGCTGTGCCCAATGCCCATCATATGTATGTATGTAACATATACCGATGACGCTGCCGTTTGTGGTGCCAAGCCAGCTATAACAGCTCTTTGTCACACTATCCGACTAGGTTTTCACTGGCTGTGGTAATTTCAGGGCAAGTTAGGTCAAGGTCAGTGATATGTGTTTGTATGTCTGTGTGTGTCTGTGTGTATACTGATGTGTGCACCGATTGGTTTTGTGTGTCCCTATTACATGGGATCATGAACTGAGAAGCTTTTACCAAAAATGCAGTAAAAACACTTCACCAAAAGTAAATTCAGCTAGCCTGAAACGCAATATATTTAGACGACCTAGGTTGAACTTGACCTTGACCCTGACATCTGTACATCGTCGAATAGCATATACCATGATAGGTGGGAGGTAAGACTGGTAAAAACATACCGAAATCAAGGTGTCAAAAGCTCACAAGACCTATAGCCAATGCAAGATATGGGGTATTGGTCATTTGCGTCATGATACGACCTGAAGAACAAGGTCATACCTCCGAAACCAAAAACCACAGAAACTTGAAATTTTTAGTGGACGCTGAGAAAGGATAGAGAAGCAGCTATACCAAAAATCAGGCTTCTATCTTCAAAAATGTTAAGTGAAGCGCAGGAAACTACCTGGGGGCTGGCAACCCCCCCCCCCCCCTCAATGTGCGGGCGAGGGTTAAGACCGGATCGATAATTTGAAGCTTTCTTGCGATTCGCGAATCGTGATTCCGGCCAAACATGGTTCCGAGAAATAACTCACAGGTCAGAGGTCATAAAAGTCAGGGTCATGAAATCTTCAGGGTCGGTATAGAATTGAATCACTCTAGGGTGCTGAAAGTTTCGTTGCGATCGGCTGCTTTTTGCGCGAGTTATTTGCGAAAAAAAACGAAGGGATTCGTACGACCCCCTACAAGTGCGAGGGATAAAACGAATCAATTTGTGTGTCTTTACACGAACATGATGAAGTTGGTGGGCACCATCCCCTCAGTTTCCAAGTTGATGGGGCTCGATCTCCGCAGCCCCCCCCCCTCCCTCCCCGGCTGACGCGCTCCTGGCGACCTCCACCAGAAGCAGCTGGTAACGGGCGGCCACAGCAAAGTCCCTCACCGGCACAGGCGGCCGGGAACGGATAGCAGTCCCTCACCTCTGTGCCGCAGTCCCTCACCTCTGTGCCGCAGCCCCTCACCTCTGTGCCGCAGTCCTCACCTCTGCCCGGGTGATGTCTATGGTAGAGATTGCAATCCCGGAACGTTTTGCCAATCCCGGGGATCCCGGGATCCCGGGATCCCGGCCTTGTCACTAAATGTCGTAAGAGTGATTTCCTACCGACATATTTTGCGTCTTTAAGCTAACCACAAACAAAGAGGCAACCAAAAGCCATCCTTAGACCATGTCATTTGCATTAAAAACGATTGAATTTGCGAATAAAACGTTTCGATTTGATTAGCATTAGCATTTATTCCTAATTGGCCTTCATAAAACTGTGCGTCGACCAGATCGTTTACTAGACAGGTTCCAGCACATCCACGCCTCACTCACTCTTCGTCTACGCTACTCGTAGTTAGCGCGACAGTTTTAAGCCATTGCCATGTTGGTCTACTTAAAAACTCGCAACCAGTGTACGCCAACTTTAGCAGCTCCCTATTTCACAATGTTTTCAAAACGTCGCTTGGTCACTTTACCTCCTTCCGGTTCCGCTTTCATCATTAAAGGAAATAGTTCACTTTTAACATGGGGTTTTGAACTGGAATAGCAGTTTCGTAGCTTGAGCTGAGACTAGCACAAATCAGGAGCTTTTACGGCTCAATGATCACCCTAGACGAAGATATTCCATTTCTCGTTCCGAAAAGAGTGCCTTGCAGAGGAATGTGTGCCTTGCACAGGAATGCAGCCACGTCATCGTCAGCCAATCAGCATGCTGCTTACAGCCAATGCAGAATGCGTAGGTTTGAACTACGCGATATGATTGGTCAACGCGTAATAAGCTTCCGCGTCAAACATTATTTTACGTAGAATATAGTTCGTCCTATATTAAAATATAGAAAAAAATTGTTTTTACAAAAAGGTTTTATTTTATTTCATGACCATTTTGAGCATAAAAAATCATAAATCAATAGCAAATTACTAATTTCAGGAAAGTGAACTGTTTCCTTTAATGTCTCTCAGAATTTGCTCGAAAGTCGCTTTGAGAGCAGAGTCACTGACTGGGAGAGCTCCACTCTACCGTCTTCAACGTCTGAATCAGTGAGCTCTGCCGTCACTTGCGTGACATCTGTGACATCTTTCTGCGACACGAGCTCAAAGACTGTCTTGATGACCTCCTTTGTTCCGGCCACGGACGGGCAAGTCAGAATCACTGAACGATCTGTGATCCTGATAAAGATGTTGCAGCGCTGATGCTGCATTTTTTTTTTTTTGGCGTTCGGGACCTTTTTTCGTACGTATTTAAGCGGCTTAACCGCTGTGGGTGATACCCGAGAGCGACCAACACGGTCGATTGTGGACGGCCAATACGGGGTGCCAGCTAAATAGTTTATCTGCTTTATGCCACGCAGCACCATAAACAGTGTAAACAAGACTCGTGCAGCGGCTGCATTCTTTTTAAGGTGAAAACTGATTCTTTTCGGCGTTTTCGGGATCCCGGGATTGGCGGAATTTCGGGATCGGGATCGGGATTAAAATCCCGCCGGGATCCCGGGATCCCGATCCCGGGATTGCAATCTCAATGTCGTACCTCTGCCTGTGTCGTGGCGCTGTCGTACCTGTGGTGTCGGCGCTGTCGCACCTGTGGTGCCGTGTCTCTGTCGTACCTGCGCCGTGCTGATGTCGTTGCCGCTCCGGTCGGTGACGCTCATTGTAACGTTGGGCGAGCGCACCAGGGCCGTGTGCTGGTCGGCGCTGGGCAGCCGGCCGTCCACGCTGAGGCCGGCCCAGTGCTGCACCGTGTGCTCCCCGAGCTGGTACAGGCAGCGCAGCGACAGGCCCACGTCCGACGAGGTCACGATCTGGTCATGGTGCTGACGGAGGGGCGCTCACGTCAGCTCAGCTCAGCTCACAGGACTGCACAGCTCAGATCAGCTGTCACAGCGGTGCAGCGCCAGGTCGGGCCACACGGGTGCAGGGGTAATGTTAGGTCAGATGTAGACTGGAGACAGAGGTCAGGTCGGATGCCAGGGCTGCAGAGGATTGGGTCACAGGGCCACATCTAGCAGAGGCTGCGATCTACCAATCAGGGAGAGCTGCGATCTACCAATCAGGGAGAGCTGCAGGTACCAATCAGGGAGAGCTGCATGTGTGGCGGGTCTGTGGCGGGTCTGGGCTCGGGTCTGTGACGGGTCTGTGACGGGTCTGTTAAGGGTCTGTGGCGGGTCTGGGCTCGGGTCTGTGGCGGGTCTGTGGGCTCGGGTCTGTGGCGGGTCTGGGCTCGGGTCTGTGACGGGTCTGTGAAGGGTCTGTGGCGGGTATGGGCTCGGGTCTGTTGCGGGTATGGGCTCGGGTCTGTTGCGGGTCTGGGCTCGGGTCTTTCGCCTTGCATTGACGTGCAAAGCAGGGAAGTGAAACGTGCTGTTGTCGCGAACTGTAGAGTCTAGGTGCATCATTTGAAAGAAATAAAGAAAAACTAATAATTACCACATGCCGAGATATCCTTTCATCATCAGCAGTGCTTTTGGGCCGGGTTTTGGCCCGCCTCGCCTAATGTTGAGGGTATGGGAATATATATTCCCGACTGGGGCTGGGAAAATGCGTTTTATTCACTGAGGTTTTTGTGCGGAGGACCGAGTGCCGGTAGGCACGAGGTCCGTAGCAAAAAACCGAGGTGAATAAAACCAATAAAACCATTGACCTATATTAAGTATTCGGGTTTTTAGTCCTTACGCCTTGGTCCTTACTAGAGGTACAGGTTTACGCGATAACTGTATGTTTTGAGTTATGTTATGTTACGGGTGCATTCGTTTGGGTGATTGACTTGTATTTTTAGCTGTATTATTTGGGTAGATTTGGGTAGCTGTTTTTAATTTAACTGTAAGGGATGGTGTTAGTTGCGGAGTGTTCAAGTGTTTTGTATGTTGGGCCCTTTTTGAACACAACCCTACCCCTACCCTACCCCTACCCTACCCTACCCTACTACCCTACCCTACTCTACCCTACCCTACCCTACCCTACCCTACCCTACCCTACTATCCTACCCTACCCTACTACCCTACCTTACCCTACCCTTCCCTACCCAACCTAACTCTACCCTACCATACCCTACCCTACTACCCTACCCTACCCTACCCTACCCTATCCTACCCTACCCTAGTCCCTACCCTACCCTACCCTACCCCTACCCTACCCTACCCCTACCCTACCCTACCTGCCCTATTCTACCCTACCCTACCCTACCCTACCCTACCCTACCCTACCCTACTATCCTACCCTACCCTACTACCCTACCTTACCCTACCCTACCCTACCCTACCTAACTCTACCCTACCCTACCCTACTCTACCCTACCATACCCTACCCTACCCTACCCTACCATACCCTACCCTACTACCCTACCATACTACAGGGTTGGGCAGATAAATTGGGACAAATTTCAACTTGCTCTAAAACGAATATTTTTTGAGTGATAAAGATAATTTTTGAACATAAATATAGGCTAATGAATACGTTTCCATGTTATGCAGGTTGTGTTGTAATTTTGAGTCGGCTGGTCACAGAACGTGGGCTTAAGCAAGCCACTATCAACTTAGTCCGCGCGCACATGCGTGCCAATACTCTAATTATGCTCCATCAAATGGCTGAAAGTAGTGTGTATCGAACAGACGTAAACGTTGGAGGAAGAGATGATATTGACTCATCCTTACATACCTATTGCATTGACACCGGCCGCTCCCCCGGTTTTCCAGGGGGGCTTAAAGGCAAAATTCAGTTAAATCAGAGGATCCTCGCGAAAACAGTGGCGCGAGCTTACAACGAAGGTAGCCGCGCCATGAGAAAGCGATATACCAGCACCTCAAACATGCACTCTTATGCATTGATGCATATCAACCTGTCAACATAGATGTTGAAGCAGCTGTGACGTTAAAAAGATTGTTTCCTCTTGAAGGGCTTGGGAGAAGCGAGCAAGCACGTGCAGGTCTTTTTCGACGATGGTTTCCCCATAACCGAACATATGAACAACCGCAAACACCATGTAACATCGCAACCAGCCCAGAAGACGTGATCTTAGTTCCAAAAAGCATGCAGCAGACATCGGTGATGGCATTCCACCCGGTGACTTCTGACGGTCACGTGGGGCCCCCTTATTTTACGGAATCGGGAGGGGGTTCGCCATTACAGGGTACCTAACCATTATTCCGGCAGTTCGAATCAACAAGATGAAAGAAGGCAACATCCTGCATGGAGTGATGCTCTTCGAGGAGTCAGCTCCCCGGCATACAGTAAATTAAATACAAAATCTCCTGAAACGGAGGATCCCGCAAACTGTACCCAAGGGAAAATGCCCCCTTCCTCAGTAAACCTCAGCCCACACAAGTTCTGGTTGCTGGGGCGTTTTTGCGGGTGAGTCTAACGAACGTCCCCATGTGACTGTGGTGAGCCTCAGCAGTGCCAGTTGGCTACAATTATGAGCCATTTCAGACGGAAGATCTCGCCGCGCGTGCGGCCAGTCCAGGCACCGATAAGGACTGATGCAGGTGGACCACAGTGACCATATTTGGTGAAAATGTGTAAAATTGGTGTGACAATATGTGATCCAAATTTGAAGTGCCTATGTTTACAAATTTCTAAGCTACGGCGTTCTAAATGCAAATATGTATTTTGTCCCAATTTATCTGCCCAACCCTGTATACCCTACCCTACCCTATCCTATCCTCTACCCTACCCTACCCTACCCTACCCATACCCCTACCCTACCCTACACTACCCTACCCTACCCTACTCCCTACCATACCCTACTACCCTACCCTACCCTACCCTACCCTACCCTACCCTACACTACCACCGACAGTCCAAGTTTCAGCTAAATCGGCCCAGAAACGGCTGAGATATTGCAAAAACAAATTAATTGTATTTACTGGCGAATCCCCTTGGCGAGCGGTGCCTTGTGTCGGACTTCGTTGTCAAAGGTCAATGACCTCCCGGCATTGTTTCCACTCAGTTTTTTTAAGCGAACAACTGAGCCTAAAGCACGTGCCCTCTGCTCGGCGCCGGTCCCGGCCCTACCACGTGCACACCGCTGAACCCACACCCTCGAAAATTTAATACGACAAATGAGTGCACGCGCTCGACTTGGCGTGAAAATTTCAGCCCCGTAGCCCTTACCGTTTCCGAGCAATAGTCTGTTGCCGATTCTAGTGTAAACCCTATGGCACACCACGTGAGCACGCGCCACGGGCGCACCCCCGGCCGCATCGTGCCCAAAATTTGATACGACCTGTTGAATGACGTGACCCACGAACCGTGAAAATTTCACCCTCCTGCGTCAATCGACGGCGCCGCAATAAGCCTTTTTGGGCGTAACCCCGACAGCGGACTTTTTAAGATTTATAATAGTAGACTAGAGGTACAGGTTTACGCGATAACTGTATGTTTTGATTTATGTTTTGTTACGGGTGCATTAGTTTGGGTGATTGACTTGTATTTTAAGATGTATTATTTGGATAGATTTGGGTAGCTGTTTTTAATTAAACTGTAAGGGTTGGTGATAGGTGCGGGGTGTTCAAGTGTTTTGTATGGTAGTACCCTACCCTACCCTACCCTACCCTACTCTACCCTACCCTACCCTACCCTACCCTACCCTACCCTACCCCTACCCTACCCTACCCTACCCTAACCTACCCTACACTACCCTACACTACCCTACCCTACCCTACACTACCATACCCTACCCTACCCTACCCTACCCTACACTACCCTACACTACCCTACCCCTACCCTACCCTACCCTACCCTAACCTACACTACCCTACCCTACCCTACCCTACAATCCCCTACCCTACCCTACCCTACCCTACCCTACAATCCCCTACCCTACCCTACCCTACCCCTACACTACCCTACCCTACCCCTACACTACCCTACCTTACCCCTACACTACCCTACCCTACCCTACCCTACCCTACCCTACCCTACCCTACCCTGCCCTACCCTACGCTACCCTACAATCCCCTACCCTACCCTATCCTACCCTACCCTACCCTACAATCCCCTACCCTACCCTACCCTACCCTACCCCACCCCACCCTACCCTACCCTACCCTACACTTACCCTACCCTACCCTACCCTACCCTACTCCTACACTACCCTACCCTACCCTACCCTACCCTACCCTACCTTTACACTACCCTACCCTACCTTTACACTACCCTACCCTACCCTACCCTACCCTTACACTACCCTACCCTACCCTACCCTACCCTACCCTTACCCTACCCTACTCCTACACTACCCTACCCTACCCTACCCTACCCTACCTTTACGCTACCCTACCCTACCCTACCCTACCCTACCCTTACACTACCCTACCCTACCCTACCCTACCCTACCCTACCCTTACACTACCTACCCTACCCTACCCCTACCCTGCAATCCCCTACCCTACCCTACCCTACAATCCCCTACCCAACCTTACCCTACCCTACCCTACCCTATTCTACCCTAACCTACCCTACCCTACTACTACCCCTACCCTACCCTACCCTACCCTACCCTACCCTACCCTACCCTACCCTACCCTACCCTACACTGCTACCGACAATCCAAGTTTCAGCTAAATCGGCCCAGAAACGGCTGAGATATTGCAAAAATAAATTAATTGTATTTACTGGCGAATCCTCTTGGCGAGCGGTGCCCGGCGTCGGTATTCATTGCCAAAGGTCAACGACCTCCCGGCTCTGATTTCGCTCAGTTCTGCAAGCGAAGAAACTGAGCCTAAAGCACGTGCCCTCTGCTCGGCGCCGGTCGCGGCCCCATCACGTGCACACCGCTGAACCCACCCCCTCAAGAATTTAATACGACACATGAGTG